GGGGGGGGGGGGGGGGGGGAGGGGATTTAAATGAGAAAAGTTAATATGTCATATGGAGGGTTATTACAAGGCATCTGATTTTTACTCATCTGATATTTTGTTTTTAACACAGAGTACAAACATCTCGGCTGCTACACGGATAAAGCCGCAAGAGCCATCCCAAAACACTTGTGGACTTACATTTTCACATCTCCTGGTGGAGTAATCAAGAAATGTGCCGATCTGGCTGAATTTAATGGTTACAAAGTGTTCGGTGTTCAGTATGGCAAACAGTGCTTTAGCGGACCATCTGCTGAAAAGACTTACGACCAATACGGATCGAGTTCACAGTGCTCTAATGGCGTTGGGGGATCCTGGGCAAACGATGTTTATGCATTCCCAGGTATTGTTCACACAAAACGTTCTTTTAAATTTTTATGCATGCGCAGTTTGGGTGCTGTTTCTCACCGCAGTGTGAGTACAAACCTTGGGTGTTCGATAGTGAACAGCATATGTGAGTTGAGTTTGTTCGATGACGGAGTTGTTCTCTCCCTTACATTGAGGGTTCTTTTTCCGGACCCCTCGGTTTCCCCGGCCACTTGTCATCGACGTGAAAATCCTCTTTTACTCCGACGAACGACTAACCTTCGAAATGTATAATTGTATAGTTACAAACGTTTTTACACAGTGTTTAAGTTTTCTTCTTATTCAATCCAGTTGTTGTAAAAAACGTATGATTTTAAAGTTGTATGCTGCAAACATTAAACATAAAGGTAGTGTACGTGCCTGCATGTGCGAACCAATGCGGAGTTATGATTGTAAAACTGATTATTATAATAAACTTCTATTTAAAAAAGTATTTCATGTCTAAGGAATATTAAAAGACCAATGATAATTTAGACGTTTTTTTAAAGTCCGATCAGCTGCACGCAAAATCTTTATGAAGGAAGCAAATGGCACTCTTAAAGCGATTTACAGATGTGTTAAAATGTGATATTTCTTAACGAAACACAAAAACTTACCTAATTTTTTTTTTTTTTTTTTAAAGAGGAATACCACAACGGCTGCTACAAGGACGAAAAAGAAGGCCGAGCATTTCCCAAGTACCTTGGAAAATTCCCTGCTGAACGAGCGGTCAGTAAGTGCGCAGCTTTGGCTGAGAAAGAAGGATTTCCTGTTTATGCTGTACAGTTCGGAGGAGAATGCTGGACCGGACCCGAGTCTGAACAAGATTTTGACAAATATGGAAAATCTGACGGTTGTGAGAATGGCGTTGGTGGAACACTGGCAAACGATGTTTATTCGCTTAAACGTAAATACACCTCATATACATGACTCGTTTGCTTGATTTCAGTTTTCCTTTTAGTTTTATGCAAGTTTGTCTGTATCTGTCTATCTTTCTATCTGTAATTATGCTTCTTTCTTAATATCGGTGTGTAGTGTCAATCTGTCTGTTCATGACTCTTTGTCAGTCTCGGTCTGTTTGTCAGCCTTCCTGCCGCTTAGCTGTCTATTTTTAAAGGTTATATACCGTTACCGAGATGGATATGAGATATGTCAACCCGAGACGAAGCCGGGAGTATAACCCATATCCACCGAGGTATACGGTATATAGCCTCCTTATATCATCATTGGGGAAGTCTCTTAAAACGGGGTTGATAACTAATAGACATCAACCTCCTCGGGAGGTTGATAACTAATAGATATCAACCTCCTCGGGAGGTTGATAACTAGATATCAACCTGGACATTTCTTTGTTTAAGAATATGTAAGAATATTAAGTTGGGTGAATATGAAAGATAAAGGCCGTCAGTGAATAAAAGAAACTGACTCAATGATGATATAAATCTGACATTTTCCGGCCTAATTACTTGCCTGAGTACTTGCCCGGCTATCTTTTTCTAGCCTGCCGAACGATCTGTCTGATTTCGATCTGTCTGTCTGTCATCATGTTGTCTGTTTGTCTGCAGTGGTTGATAAGAGCATACTATATATAACTCATTGAGAAATATCTGTTAATTTCTACCAATGTGCCAGCTAGTTATAATGTTAATCTTTCTATCGTTTTTATGTCCACAGCCTATCGCCATGTTGGTTGTTATTCAGACCATCTCTTTACCCGAGCCATTAGCTGGTTGATCGGCACCTTTCCCTCAGCGACTGCTGTAAACAACTGTGCTTATACTGCCAAGAAAAAAGGATACAAGGGATTTGGCGTCCAGTTTGGAGGCCAGTGCTTTGGCAGCACCGGCGCTCATCATGAAAGCGTGTATGGCAAGTACGGCAAGTCTGACAAATGCAAAGGAGGAGTTGGTGGCTGGTTCGCCAATGATGTTTACCTCTTTTTTTAGGTAAGACTATAAAGATTCTCTTTATGTAAAAGAATCAACTGAGCAATCAATACGGCCACAGTGACAGCAAAAAGTAGCATAGTCATCCCCACCACCATCATATCCATGAACCATTACCACTATCATCACCACCACCATCATATCCATGAACCATTACCACTATCATCACCACCACCATCAAATCCACAAACCATTACCACTATCATCATCACCACCATCATATATATCCATAAACCATTACCACTATCGTCACCACCACCATCATATGCATAAACCATTACCACTATCAACATCACCACCATCATATCCATAAACCATTACCACTATCATCGGCACCACCATCATATCCATAAACCATTACCACTATCGTCACCACCACCATCATCACGTGTCACCACCATCAATATATATAAAAAGATCACAATAGAAGTCAAAGCAGCAGCAGCATCAYCACTATTATCATCACTATCAACACGAMCACCATCAAGGGATCCGTATAAAAAGATTACTGACAATGGAAGCAAAAAGCAGCTTCATCATCCTAACCAAAATCAGAATTTCTATCATCACCACCAACATTAAGT